GTATATTTTAGAAATTTTTTTAGAACTTCCTGTTCACTGCAAATTTTCCCACGGTATAGTTTCTTAATCTTTGATATTACGGCATAAAAAGAGATGCGAATACAGAAAGATTTAGGCGGCAATTTTTTTTAAAAAATCAGTTTTTTTTTAAATTCAAGCTTTAATAACTCGGTTATTTTGGACTTATTTGAAACACGGTAAAGAGAATATAGTATGTTTCTTTTATTCACATCTACCAGCCCTGAAAATATTTGCACAAAGCAAACAAAAAAAACATTTCAAACGGAACAAAGAAAATTATTAGATGCACGATTTCTTGATTTTTCTCGGTCATAAGTTCTGAGGAACTTTTTCGAGTGTCTTAGACCGGAAGACTCCCATTCCAGGTTACAGTTCTCATTCCAGGTTACCCTCCCATTCCAGGTTACAGACTCCCATTCCGGCTCAATTCCGCCTTTAGTTGGTTTTCGCTTAGAAAACAGAACGGTTCTGGACCAGTTAGTGGGAGTGTTTGCTCCGTTTCGAGCTAGATAATTTGCTTTTTCATTGCCTTCTATCCCTTGGTGAGCGGGCACCCAGAGTAGGAGGACTTTATTTTATTTGCCTAATTTGTTCAGCTTAAAAACTTAGGAATACTAGCCAGAAAATAAAAAAAAAATAAACACAAGACGACCAGAAAATTATGAAATATTTGGAAGAAACGTTTGAAGAGACAAAAAACAGGCGGACTTTTCAAGAAAAGAATCCGCGTCACAAAGATATTGTACATTATTTTATTTTTGTTTTCAACTTTTCAGCTTTTTCCAGTGGACTAGGAGTTACTTTTGGGCACATCTAATATTAACAATTTCACAATTTTCATATTACAAATAGTTTCCAGTATGTCATGTAGAACTACCGTTAAGAAACTTGTGCTTTAAATTGGATACCTTTATACAGGGTGATTCACGGCCATGGTACACTAGACGTTTATGGAGAACCGGTTATGTATGTTGTATATTTTTGCACAAGGGCACCCATATAACACACAATATCCGCAGGATATTCATAGAATGTCGGAATGTCCCATTATAAGATCATCTTATAAAGACATCTATAGAATATCCTCCAGACATCCTGAAATCCTGTAGATGTCTCAGAATAGAATATCCTATGGTATATAGAATATCCTCTGTCGTATATCTAATGTACATCCAGCTGAGATATCCAAACATGCTCATGATAATAAAACATCCTAACAATATCGTCTAGATATTTAGGAAAAATAAATAATGTACTATTTTTATATTACATAAAATTCCATAAACCATACAGATAGATATATATTACGTCTAGGCAATATCCTGTTGATATCTTCTGGAAAATCTGGATATTTATGAGCTTGGCCACTCCCAGTAATACAGAGAATTTAAAACGCCCGCGCAAAAAAATTCCCACAATCCATCTCGACAGTTTGTTTTTGCATCGTGTATTATTCAGTTCTTTGATTTAGTGAAATTCGAGGTGAATTCGGTCGTTTGTCGATATTGAATGGGCTTAAAAATGACTGAAACTAACATAACTGGTTGAGTTTGACTTAGTTTTTTCTTATACTCATACGTTGTTCTAGGAGAAATTCTATCTTAACCTCAACTCAAAGACATTATAAAGATAGACCGAACATCTCGTTCATAAATACTCGTTGGTAGTGTATCAAACATTCCAATGTGTCAAACAAGGACAGAAGAGACAGAGAAGTCTAAAATTTCCGACCCGGGCAACTAGGCGCATTTGGATTGTTCTAATGGCCAGTGGCGTATCGTTTTTGGAACGAATTTAATTTGTAAAGTAAAAGTAAAGTAATTAGTAAAATTTTTACTCCATATTAATATACTACATTAACACTTTTTCGTTAGATGAGTTTTGTTATAAGGTCTAATATAATAATATAATTCTTACTAAATCTATGCCTCAACTAATATCGAAAAACGACGAACGACTCAGGGTCTCACAATGAAAAATTTGTGACAAAATTATAGGTGAAAATTTGTTGAAAAGCGCTTGTTTTATATCCCTGAACCCATTTTCGTGTTTGATCTATTCAAACAGAAATCCTATTTTTGTGTTTAAATTGTGAGTTTCTGGAATGTGTGGTGTTAGAAATTATACCTGTATCATGTGTGCTAACTTTGATGTAAACTATTTCTGCTAGACATAAACTGCTAGACTCCATAAAGGGTAGTATAATCTGGTATAATACCATACGATCGAACAAAACGGCGTCAGAGGTGGCTTGGAAATGAAGATTGAAAATTGAATTGATATATGGGGAATGTCATCGATCGTAATTTTCTAGCCAGTTGAACGCCGTTTTTTTTTCGATGGTATAGTATAAATTGAAAGCTCTTAACTCATACAAATAAACTTCTAAATTTTGACGCAAAATTCATTGACAGGTATATTTTAGAGCTGTTAGTAAAAATATCCAATGAATAACGTCAAAATGTGGCTATAATGGCTAATTCCAAAGCGTGACTCATCCGTGAAGAGAACATTGGCCCATTGTTCATTCGACCACTGAACATGATCTTGAGCCCACAAATATCGTACCTCTCGATTTTCCCTCGTTAAGGGTTGGGCTCTCTAGGGGCGTCTGCTTCTTAAGTTGACCTCTCTTAATCTATTGCGAACAGTGTCAGGACTAACGGTTACATTATGTGTTTCCTGGAGAATTAAACTAAGCTCTGGTGCTGTAAGAGTCGGTCGGCGTCGAGCATTTAATTGTAAAAAATGATCTTGCTGAGGGGTAGTAATGCGATGTCGCCCTGTGTGCCTTTCAGCAACATCACCACTTTCACGGTAGCGTGCACTTAATCGCGATATTACACTTTGCGTTGCATTTAATGCTCTAGCTACGTCGACTTGACGCATTCCAGCTTCGAGCATACCCATGGCCCTTAGCATTTCGTCTCTGTTAAGATGTCTACGCTCCATAATGTCATTTAATACTAAACAGAGTTATTTGAATGAATTCTGGCCAGTTATCATAAAAACATAGCCAGTACAGGTTAAATTCGAACAATTGATGATTTAGAATTAGAATGAATTTAGAATGAGTGGGAGGGGGGTTAATCACTTCGACCTTACAGATCCATTGTGTCCCCCTTTCTTGAATCATAACTCATCATACAGTCCCAGGGCTTTGACAAAAGCCAGTATCTGGGACGGTTTTATAGAGGGTAGTTCTCCATCTCCAATATCAGTCGTACCAAAATTCATGGCACGAATGGTTGTCATCTCGGCGCACTCAGTGATGAGGTGTACTGGTGTTTCCCCATCTTCCCCACAGAATCTGCATTCGCCGTTTCTTCTTAGTTTCAATCTACTGAGGTGTTCGTTGAGGAGACAGTGTCCTGTTAAAAACCCCGTGACAATCCGAAGATTGTTCTTACTCAGACCCAGGAAGATCTGTGATTTTTCTTCATCATAAGCCCTCAGAAACTTCTTCGAGTGTCTTAGACCATTGGAAAATTTCCATTCCAGGTTGCGGATGGAATCTTCCAAGTTCTTGAGTTCCGCCTTGAGTTGGTTACCACTTGGAAAGCAGAACGGTTCTGGTTCAGTTAGTGGAGTGTTCGCTGCTTTCCTAGCTAGATTATTTGCTTTTTCATTGCCTTCTATCCCTTGGTGAGCAGGCACCCAGTGTAGGAGGACTTTGTTTTCTTTGCCTAATTTATTCAGCTTCTCTATGCATTCTTTGACCAATTTCGAATTGATTGATACTGAGTTGATCGCCTTTAACGCTGCTTGACTATCAGATAAGATGGCTTTTCTTGTTTCCGATAGTTCCTATCTAAGATAAGTTGTACGCATCTCTCGATAGCGTAGATTTCTGCCTGTAGGATACTAGGGTAAGTGCCCATTGGTTCGGAGTAATTAGCTCTCGGCCCAAACACTCCGATCCCTGTTCCCGTATTGGTTTTGGAAGCATCAGTATACCAAGTTATGGTATGGTCTTTTAACTGCTGGGCAAGCGTTTCGCTCTTCCAATCCTTCTTATTGCTCAATACTACATTGACATGTTTGTCAATGTAGTATAGTGCAACAATTGATGATAGTGCTTTTTATATATTTGACAAAAAATGCACAAACACTTCTGCAAATATCCCAATTTTAGAAATAGCTAGTGTGACTACTTCGTTTCAATCGAAGTATAGAAAGAATCGGCCTACAAATATGTGGTTGTTTATTCAAAACATTTATTTTTAACTTTAATAAAATGATATCCCTAGATTTTTCCGGTGTGTGTAGTTTCAGAGATACAGGGTGTAGAAGTTTCATTTTTATTTCGATGTTTTCCAAATCATTTCTGAAGTAACGCCAATATTTGGACGAAAATTGGTATCTGGTGGTTTTTTTGACATGAGAAATTTGATTTTGAAGACAATATGACTCCTATTTGTAAGGGACGCCACCTACATGTCTTTAAATAACTTTTCATCCATACCTGTATAAAACTAATGAGTGAAAAAAATATACGTTCACGGCGTTTTTACGTAAAAAATGTCTCTTGGTAAAAATCGCTTTCGAACAACCGTTCTCAAGATATTTAAAATGGAAATAGTTAATACATGTTATTATTGACAAAAAATAAACACGTTGAGTAGATAGTTATTTGACTGAAATGATAAATATGGGATATAAATTTGGGAACTTTTTATTTTTTTAAATAAAACAGTTTCTGTTGAAAGTTGGTATTGAGACCCTTTTCTTAGATGGCTGTATAAGGTGTGTTTTTACATGGCCGTGTATAAAAAGATTGTATTGTAATAAATGCGTAACTAAGAATACCAATCGACACGTCCGAGCGTTTTTGAGCGAACATGGCCCCCAATAATTTATTATGGCTGATACTGGATTATTATTCCATTTAGCTGATACACACTGAGGTGTATATTAGGGGATAAATCTTAATAAGATATAACTCGCCTTGATTTGTGAAGGAATTAAAAAGTATTGTAAACTTTGTAAATTTTTATTTTAACATAATTCAAACATACACTCTAAGAAGAATAAGTTAATGAAATATTACAACGTTAAGAACTAACTAAAGTTACAAGAAGTGTGAAACAACACGAAAATATTCATTTATACTAATAAATATTATGTAATATTGTAATATCTTTTATAATAATAAACATTCCATCGCCAGGGTAGCAATTTAATATATCATATTTTAATAATCATTTATGTCAAAAAAATAAAAACAATCATACCAGAAAGTATTCAGTTAAAGGGCACAATAAATAGGAGCCCTTGTAAAGACAGAGATTCTTGTAATTTCTTGAGTATTCTTTTTGATTATCATGACATAGACAATCATTAAAAAATTGGAAGCACAAATATGAACATTTCCAAAAAAAACAATAAATAATGTATAATATATGTATAACATTCGCGTAAAACCTGTACAAAATTTACATTTAAAAAGTCAAAAAATATTTCATTCCTACATTTTTTTGACTAGACTTATATTGTTGTATGACAGAAGTTGAGCAATTTCTTTCCAGCAGTCACTTATTAAAAATGTTCATAGGTGCACGAAATAATCCTAAATGCATAAAAATACATTTTAAATTTAAAAAATACATATTTAAAGTTACAATCTTAATGATTTTCTAAAAAAATAGACAAGAAAAAGTTAAACGGTTGTAGAGTATTTAAATATAATTTGCAGATTCTCTTCCGAGATAACAAAAAATCTTAACAAGATAACTATTTAAACAAAACATTCTTTAAATAAAAACTTATAAAAGTTGTTATAACGTGTGTGATAAGGCACATTGTTCAGTATTTAGTCGTCATATTAGCCCAAGAGCTAAGTCCAACGGGTTTTAGAGCGGTTTTGTGAAATTGGCGGGGAACATTCCTTTTTCTCCATTTTCTTTGATGCCCATAAGCCATCCTTCTTCCTGCAACAGAAAATAAAATATAAAATTAAAATAATGTCATAGAATTAATTATAAAAATATAAACTTGAAAATCTCGGTATTAAAAAGAATTATATGATTTTGTTTATAAAATTCTCAATACTTTTCACGCACTGGCCCATTCAAAAAAATTTAAGTCTTTAAAATTACAAAAAGAATATACATGGACAATTTTAGAACAGTACGCAGTAAATAGATATAATTTTAGAGTTATAAAATATTAAATACTTGACTTTTGAACAGTGTGTGAGATGATCAAAATTTTAAAATTCAAAATTGTTCATATTTAAACATCAAAAAAGTCGTTTGCCGCATATAGGGCTCCCTCCAGTAGGTATGATTTTAGAGCTTTGCGAAATGCGGGAAAGAATGAAAGCGACTTGATATTCAAAGGCAGATGATTGTACATTTTTTTGGCATTGTACAGTATTGAACATTTAACTAGTTCTGAGCTCGGGGTTGGCAGATAAAGATCGTGCTCTGCATTCCTAAGTGGATAGTTATGAGATGGCCTTTCAGGAATATGTGCTTGCGGACTAAGCAAACGGATTCAAAAATGAATAAAGAAGGAAGAGTCAGTATTTTCAAATTTTTAAAGAAATTCTGGCAGTGAGTTCTACTGTTCAGTCCCAATAAATATCGTACTGCTCTCTTTTGAAGTCTGAAAACACGATGAAATTTTGTTGCGCAGCAAGTACCCCAGAATGGAAGGGCATAACGAAGATGTGACTCAAAAAGGGCATAATAGGCTATTCTAGAGGTTGAGAAGTTCCTTAGAAACTGATCTTAGTGCAAAATAGGCAGCGCTTAGTTTCTTTGATAGAACTTCGATGTGAAAGTCACATTTTAACGAGTTGTCTACAACAAGTCCTAAGAATTTCACAGACTCCACGACGTCAATAGTGGTGTTATTAAGTACAAAAGGTTGTATAGTACTTTTATATGACAAAACTTTAGTTTTTGATAGGTTGAGGCATAGATTAGAATCGCACCAAGACTTAATGGTGCGTAAGTCACAGGCAGGATATAGTATCATATAGTGCCGCAACATCTGGGCCGCTCCAAGTGAAACTAGTATCGTCCGCAAAGAGGCAGATTTTACCGCTAATGTCTAGATTTGCAATGTCGTTGATAAACACCACAAACAAAATAGGGCCAAGTACTGAACCCTGAGGGACACCACATTCTATAGGCTTACAAGACGACATAGACGTATCAATCCTCACAAGCTGCCTTCTGTTGCCAAGATATGACTTAAACCATCCCCTAAAACCATAGTATTGCAATTTGTTAATTAAGATATTATGATTTACACAATCGAAAGCCTTAGAGAAATCACAGAAAATTGTAGCTGTAGAGTGATTAGAGGCTAGAGTACATTATTAAAAAGGTCGAACATAGCATCATTTGTGCAACTGTTACTTAGAAATCCAAATTGATGGGTAGTAAGTATTTTATATTTACGGAGAAAAGATAGAAACCTTTTTTTAACCAATCTTTCAATGATATTAGATAATGTGGGCAGGAGTGCAATTGGGCGATAGTTCGAAGCTTCATCTTTATCACCTCCTTTATACAGAGGAATAATTATTGCTGTCTTTGGCAGTTTGGAAAAACTCCTTTTTGGAATGACTCGTTAATTAAAGTAGTAAGATGGTTTAATGTGCATTCAGGAAATTCAGAGAACATTTTGAGAGTAAGCCCATCAGTCCCAGATGAGGATTTGTTTTTAATACTATTAATTGTACTACGAAGCTCATCTAATGCTACGGGCGTGAAGAAGAAACTGTGTAAATTCTCATTTCCTTCAGGGAAATATGAAAGTGAATCATGAGAAGGAGTTATGGTGTTCACTAAATTTTTAGCCACATTAACAAAGTAAGTGTTTAAATCTTCAGGTGAATTAAAGACTGTGCCAGACGAAGAAGTCTTATTCCTTAAGTCATTTACAATAGCCCAAGTCTCCTTAGCGACATTACCGACTTTGGTTAGCCTCGCTTATAATGCGAGGCATAAATATCCTTGGCAGCTTTTATAGTCTTACGATAAACCTTTCTATAAAGTTTCACGTAATTATGAAAGAAGACGCTGTCCGTGAATTTCTTAAGGTGAGATAATGAGCGCATGTTCTTTGCAGATATACGCAAGCCTGTAGTAGACCAGGGTATACCTTGTTTAATTTTGATAGGCCTAAGAGGAAACGCCTTGTACGCCAGATTAGACAAGGTATCCATAAATCTAGAAAATTCGGAATCGACGTCAGCCGAGAGGACAACCCACTCAGTTGTTAGACATAGGTGGTGAAAATTTAGAAAATTTTGCATTTGGATTTTGGCAAAAACTTTGTCAATACTGCCTCATGATCAGAGAAACCTGAGTGAAGGACTCTACAGTCAACGAATTCCGGGTCAAAAGACGACACGACATAGTCTATAGTACTAAAGCCAGTTTTCCCAAGCAGCATTTGGACGTCGGAATTGCTATTTTAGGAACGAAACATTTTCTTATTTAACAACATGGCGGCTTGCACTTTATTGTTTTGGAGATTAAGATGGAGTAGTTCGAGTAGTCGACTGGACTAATAAAGTCGCAGTTCGGCCTTAACAGGTAGTATACTAGTCGCAAGATTGCCTAATTTAGTCATCCTAGAGTCTAACTTGTGCCGCCCTCTATAATCTAAATAAACGAGGGAGTGGATAAACATCAGTAATATATGTCGATGTATATTTAAATTTAGTTTCATATGTACCTTTCTTATGTCCCATTTTAATTAAGTTTTTTTTTATAAAAACAGAAACAGCACTGAACTGTCTGACTGAACAGAACAATGAAGTGAAAATTTAAGATTAAAGGTTATGGTTCAATACAGTGGCAAAAAGATAGTGACTCGACGTCCTACCAACGTAAGAATAAGGAAATCTAAACAACGTTGGAATTAGTAAAACAGACGACGTTTGCATAACGTTGGAAAAGGTCCTGAAACTGACGTCGGAAAACTCTATATTGTCCAACGTTGTAACTACGTTGTCCGAATCACCTAAAGATCACTTAAGCAAAAAAGGTTACAAGACAACGTTTATTCGACGTCGCAGAAGCTTTTACTTTGTTGTAGTACTAGTTCAACGTCGGCACAACGTCACAACAACGTTTATATTTATTTTAATACCCGAGGTACGGAGATAACTATTTTTTGTAACTAATCCAACGTCGTGTTTAGTAAACATGTGGTCGCAAGTCGTGAAAATGCTACTTGGGAACTATTCGTGCCATGAAGTTTGCTACGACTGATATCAGAGATGGAGTCATAAATCAATAGCAGCAGTACCAGCTAATGCCAAATAGAAAATATATTTCTTTCATCGAGATCCACCACCCCTGAAAATGTTTGTTTTTATTTAAGAAACACCCCCTATAACATTTACCGCTAATTGCATTTTATGGCAGTATTGTTCTTTTCCCTTTTAGAGTGGACTGGCCTAGAATTTCTATTTCCCCTATGCTACTATTACACTATAAAATTTCTTTGCCAAAGATTTTATTTAAAATATATTTTATGAAGACTTTGACAGTGTAAGGCCACTATAATATTACACTGTCAAATTTCTTTGTCAAAGATCTTTTCTAATAGATATTTGATGAAAAATTTGACAGTGTAATTAACAGGGTGGTCCGAACTGTATTCCGGAAACTTCGGCAGCATATTCTGCAGATAAAAATAAGTAGAAAAGTTCGTATAAATGTATGTCCTAAAAATGCTTAGTTTCGGAGATACAGGGTGTAGAAGTTTCATTTTTATTTCGATTTTTTCTAAATAATTTCTACAGTGACGTCAATATTTCGATGAAAATTGGGGTCTGGGAGTTTTTTGACATGAGAAATTTGATTTTGATGTCAATATGACTCCTACTAGCAGAGGGCGCCACCTACATATTTTTTAACTGGTTTGAAGAGTAATAACTTTGTACCTGTATAAAAGTACTGAGTAAAAAATATACATTTGCGACGTTTTTTACGTAAAAAATGTCTCTTGGTAAAAATCGCTACGAGTATTATTTTTTGAGATATTTGGTATCGAAATTATCAATACCTGTCATCATGGACATAAATTAAACATGTTGACTAAATAGTTATTAGACTGAAATCATAAATTTGAAAGTTTTTGTGCCAAAAGTTCAACAGACACTGTTTTTTCATCATTTTTTGTAGAAAAATTTATGATTAATTTAAAAAAATAAAAATTTCCCAAATTTATTATTTCAATGAAATAACTAATCAACGTGTTTATTTTTCGTCAATAATGACATTTATTGACTATTTCCATTCTAAATATCTTGAGAACGGTTGCTCATAGCGATTTTTAAAAATATATATTTTTTACGTAAAAAATCACAGAGATTTATATTTTTTTCCTCGGTAGTTTTATACAGGTACGGACAAAAATTTATTACGCTTCAAAACAGTTAAAACACATGTAGGTGGCGCCCTCTACCAGTAGGAGTCATATTGACATCAAAATCAAATTTCTCATGTCAAAAAACTCCCAGACCCCAATTTTCATGCAAATATTGACCATACTTTAGAAATTACACCCTGTATCACTGAAACTAAGCCTTTTAAGACATACATTTAGACGAACTTTTTTACTTATTTTTATCTGCAGAATATGCTGCCGAAGTTTCCGGACCACCCTGTATTGTGAAATATAATTTTATAAATCACACATATTAAACTGTCAAATTCTTTGACAAAATAAAATCTTTGACAAAATTTGATAGTGTCATAGTCCTAATATGTTGTGTGATTTTATAAAATATTGTTTATTAGGCCAGTATCACACTATTAAATTTCTTTTTCAAATATCTTTTATAAAAGATATTTGATGAAAAAATTGACAGTGTTAATATACATTATTTTATAAAATCACACATATTACAGTGTCAAATTCTTTGATAAAATCGACAAAAACGAAATTGACAAAGGAATTTGATAGTGTAATACTGACCTAATAAACAATATTTTGTAAAAACACACAACATATTAGGCTACTATGACACTATCAAATTTCTTTGTCATAGAATTTGACAGTGTAATATGTGTGATTTATAAAATATTGTATATTAACCATGTCAATTTTCTCTTAAATATCTTTTATAAATGATCATTGACAAAGAAATTTTATAGTGTAATAGCGGTCATATAGATTTATGAAAATGTTGATGATAGACAGGTAAAATTCATTCACATGCCCTGTTGTTCTTTTGAATCTATAATATATTGAGTGTATTGAGATATCAGAGCCAAAAGAACATGGTATAATCAGGATATTTCAACACACAAGATGTCAATTTATGCATTTAAAGTTACAGCAGTCGGGCAGTCAATAGATAAATTATTTTGTTTCCATTCTCTACAATGTATTCCACTAAGATTATTGTAAAAATAAAACAATATATATTTTACTTTATTTATTTTTTTTTGCCTGCTTCTTTTTTTCTCGATTTATTTTTGACACTCATTACAAGGCCGCTAATCTTTTTCCTTCAAAAATCTATTGAAATAAAATTTCTTCAATGATCATTATCTTCTTATTTATTATATAAAAGTATTATTTTTTACGTGTATAAAAATTGCACGTAGAAATTTAAATTCGAGGTCATACATAGCTTAACAAATTTCTAACAGTAGTAAAAAATATGAAAATTACTATAACTAATTCCTACTTGTTTTTAACGCTTGAACACTCACCTACGCATATATTTATGAGATATAGGTACATATAATTCATTTAGATAAATGATCATGAAGCTATTAGGAACGGACCCGACAATACCACATCCTATTTCGAATTTTAAAGATATACGAATATTTGTTACAAATTAGCCTCGAAATTAGCATACCGAGTGCATCTCAAAAGTGGCCCACCTCTATAACTTTTTTATTTTTTCACATAAAAAAACGATATTTGGTATGTTAGTAAGTATATGACATAAATTAGGATTGATTGAGGTATTCAATTGATTCTGGTCCCTTCCTGATCCCCGGAAATGACTACAACTTATGATTTTTAAATGGCACCTCGGTATATTTTCCTTTATTCGATAGAAATTGACACTCTGAATAGAATGACATTTCATATGTCAACTTTTGACATTTTAGCTTAAAAATATATTGTATTTTAAACTTCAATCTACAAGCTGCTTGTTACGGCCTGATCCACTGCGACCTTCTCAGATCTATCGTGGTCCTCTTCTGATCCTTAGATTACATTCTCCAGTCCTAACCTTTTCACAAAGTTTCCCAAGCAGCATTTGGACGTCGGGACAACGTTGTGTCACGCGACCAAACGTCGGGGCGCAACGTCGGCACAACCTCGTGCCAACCCTAGTCTGCACTAGTTTGGAGAATAATTTTTGGGTCGAAACGACGTTGGATACCGACGTTGGCTAGAAGTCTAATTTAGTACAAACTGCAACGTTGTTTAAAATCCTAATTCACAGAAATACAAAACTAATATGGCGTCTAAGTCGCGTTTTATCCTAAATTGGGATAATTATAGTAAAAATATTATTTTTATGATTTAGTTAGAGACATATGTCAGATGGCAGTGAAGGAAAACAAAACAAAAGTATTTAAGTGTGTGGAGGATGTTTGAAGATCATAATTATTGAAACACTTTAACCGACTCTGTAACTCGTTACCCAAGGCAAAAAAGTTAAACGCAAACAACTTTATTGATAAATGTATTGTTTCTACTTTGAAAAATACCAATGGGCCTTAAAATTAAAGAAGTTTAAAAATTTTCTTGAATTTTTTTTTTTAGTAAAATGAGAATAATTTATTCGTAGTCGAAAAAATTGTTTCCGCGTGTTTTTTAGGGTCAAATATTTCAAGTTAATGTATTCAAAAAGCAGGAATTGCTATTTTAGGAACGAAACATTTTCTTATTTAACAACATGGCGGCTTTCACTTTGTTGTTTTGGAGATTAAGATGGAGTAGTTCGAGTAGTCGCATACTGGACTAATAAAGTCGCAGTTCGGCCTTAACAGGTAGTATACTAGTCGCAAGATTGCCTAATTTAGTCATCCTAGAGTCTAGCTTGTGCCGCCCTCTATAATCTAAATAAACGAGGGAGTGGATAAACTATCGGTAATATATGTCGATGTATATTTAAATTTAGTTTTATATGTACCATTCTTATGTCCCATTTTAATTAAGTTTTTTTTTATAAAAACAAAAACAGCACTGAACTGTATGACTGAACAGAACAATGAAGTGAAAATTTAAGATTTAAGGTTCAATACAGTTGCAAAAAGGTAGTGACTCGACGTCCTACCAACGTAAGAATAAGGAAATCTAAACAACGTTGGAATTAGTAAAACAGACGACGTTTGCATAACGTTGGAATAGGTTCTGAAACTGACGTCGGAAAACTCTATATTGTCCAACGTTGTAACTACGTTGTCCGAATCACCTAAAGATCACTTAAGCAAAAAAGGTTACAAGACAACGTTTATTCGACGTCGCAGAAGCTTCTACTTTGCTGTAGTACTAGTCCAACGTCGGCACAACGTTATAAAAACGTTTAAATTTATTTTAATACCCAAGGTAGGGAGCTAACTATTTTTTGTAACTAATCCAACGTTGTGTTTAGTAAACATGTGGTCGCAAGTCGTGAAAATGCTACTTGGGTTAGCAACTTGGAGACTGAACCCTCCATGCAGCTCCCTAGCAATGGCCCATCATTGCCTATTACCGAGAACCGCACATACATTTGCCAGGCTGTCACACCGACATAAAATGTGTTCTGACGTTTCTTCTTCAGATTGGCAGAACCTACACATAGCTTCGTCTGTCAGTCCTATCAGCTTTAGATGCCTATTTAGCTTACAATGCCCTGAAAGACAGCTTTGACTGTCTTTCTGTCCTTGCTTATCAAATCTACTGTGAATTTTGGAGAATGTTCTACTACAATGAACCTTTTCGCCTGTCTCTGCCCTGGTGAGTTTCTCCACCATTCTAGAGATTTGTTGGCCACCCATCACTCCGTGACCATTCTCGTGACCGCCTTTGCAACGCCGCAGACGGGTTCTGGGCCTATGAATGGCATTGATGAGCTTTGCTTGGCCCTTTCATCTGCCTTTTCGTTACCCTTGTGACCCTCATAACCTGGCACCCAGGCCAACGTAACAGTGCTACATTCGCCTAAAGTATTCAGAGCACGCACACAGTACCACACTAGTCTAGAATGGACTTCCGCGGAGCCGAGTACCTTTAGCGCCGCTTGGCGGTTTTTAAGATGGCCACAGAACGAGTTGTTCTTTCTTGCCTTTTTATTTCTTCTACACAATAGTGGATTGCCGTTATTTCTGCTTGGAAAATTGTGACATCCTTAGATCGGCTTACGTGGAAGGATCTCCCTTGTTTCGGTCCTACTATCCCAGCTCCTACGCTTTCTGACGTTTTTGAGCCGTCTGTATACCAGGTTGCATCAGTTTGAATGGGTACACCTTTACTCTAGTCTTCCCTTCCTGGTATGGTTATATTAAATTTGTTGTTGAAGCTATACCTTGTAGCTGTTGCATCAATTGGTAATCCCAATACTTTGTCTGTTTTAGCTCTTCGATTAGCTTCTAGTTAGCAACACTATGCGTCTGGCTTATGTGCTGCTGACCGTGAATCAACCTGTACATGACAGATCTGGCTTCGCCTTGTATGAAAATATATAGTGGTGTTAAGTTCAAAAAGACTTCCATCGCATTTGTGGGAGTGGTTTTTATGGCCCCAGTTACACACAGGCACGCAAGCCTTTGTGTGGAACTTAACAGCCTTACCGCACCCACTTGCGATGTCTTTGTCCACCACGCCACCGACCCGTAGCTTATCATGGGTCTTACTACTCTTGTGTATAGCCATAGAGTCATTTTAGGGTTAAGTCCCCACTTTTTTCCACACATCCTTCTGCACCTACCTAAAGAGATGGCAGTCTTCTGTGTTGCCTTCTCTATGTGAGTATTCCACGTAAGCCTTTGATCAAAAAATATCCCAAGATACTTTGTTTCTTTGGCAAATGAAATCTCCGTTTCTCCTAGTACTGGTGGTTTTAGGCCTTTTGTGCTATCTTTTTTTGTAAAATTGACAATTTGTGTTTTCTAAGCATTGACTGTTAGTCTATCTTAGATTACATTCTCACAGTTCAATTATTATACCGTACACTGTAAGAAATGGTAATTTAAAAAGCTTCAGCTTTTCGTGGGAGATTATTTTTTTTTGTTTTTTTTTATGGATTTTTTTATTCAGTTTTCCTATAATTAATATATTAATGTTTTAATGTAATCATTAAATAAAAAAGCGAGAAAATATATTAAAATTTGTCTTTTTTTTCCAAGAAAAGTGTTAATGATTTATGCTTTATGCCATATAGAATGAAAAACTTTTCCTTGGCCTAAAGTGTCACTGAAAAAGGTACTAGTATATCTTAGCTAAATTTAGTTAAATTAGAAAAAAATCAGTTTACCTGTTCTTCAGGGTCGTCATACTCCACAACTGATATAATTTCACCTACTTCAAAAGATAGTTCGTCTACGTCTTCTCTAGTATATTTATAAGTTGCTTTCACCCTGTATAAAACCCCGGGAGGTAGGTTTTCTGTGCTGGCACCTGAAAAAGATACATTCGCTGTAAGATATATTTTCTGCTGTAAACAATATTCTTTGTTTATATTTTGGTATTAACTAGAGCCATCGCATATTTTTTATACCTACATTACTACCACATGATCGAAAAAAAACGGCGTCAGAGACGGCTGGGAAATGACAATCGGTGATAATTTTGGCGAGGTGAAGCCCTAGATCATTTGAAGCCCTTGGTCATTACATCTTCCTGAGTCTTCTTTATTTTTTAATGGTGCTTACTGCCAGTCGGCATTAAGAAGGTGGTAATTTGTTTTTATATTGAGAAAAAATGATTTTTTATTGGTGCAGTTTAAAATTCGAGAAAAAATCTTTTTTTAGAAATACTTTTATGTCTGGAGACGTTCGACCCATTTTTAATCTTTCTATAATTAGTGTTGATTTTTGACAAGTTTTATGTCAAATTTTAGTAAGTGACGTCTAGAGATTGACTTAAAATCTTAATTTAAAATTATCATGAATTGTCATCCCTCAGCCGTCTTTGACACCGTTTTTTTTTCATTATACGGTAGCAATAAATAAGTTGGCATGAATTATCCTACAGGAAAGAATATTACCTAAATAATTAAGACTTTTTAGAATAAAATCAAATTATCTATTATTGCATCAAAAAAGATTTAAAAAATTTCAAGGATTGCTGAGTTTTTTGGAAAACGCATTTTTTTGAAAATCAGTTTTATTCTTTCCTGTTGTTACTTTTTAGAAAATCAAAAAACTAATAATTGCATATTCTCATAGCCACTTTATTAGGGCTATCTAAATTTTTTAGATTAGCTAATAATTTGTGAGATACAGAGGCTAACTTAATTTTTTTAAATACGGACCTGCATTTTTTATTTAAAGTTTTGAAAGAACTCAGTCTCCTGAGTACAATGATATGCCACGCTTGATACTTTTTTTTGATTTGTGTACCTTAACAATAACAAAACTATTTAATATAATTTATCCACGACTCGTCTATAATTTGATTATTACACATGAGTTTATGAAATAATAATAATATTCATTATTCACTAGTGAATAATGGTTTCATTATTTACCACTTCCACGGATATCTCGATCCAAACTCCAAACAAGAGCTGTACTCGATCCAAACCGGCTTGGAATACGATTGTACGCACAAAATAAAAAACAAAGGTGGCTATGAAAGCATTGAAATGCCACGTCACGTTGCGTTGTCGCGCTGTTGTGGATATTTTTTTGACATTAAAAATAAAAACTTATATTAATATTATCTATTTTTTTATAGTCCTGGATGAAGTATAGTATTCTACTCGCATATATTACTCGCTGTTATTCACTTGGATGATTAATATTCATTATTCACTACTAATGGTTTCATTATTCACCGCTTCCACGGATATCTCGATGCAAACTCCAAACAAGAACTGTGCTCGATCCAAACCGGCTTGGTTTTGTTTTAATTAGTTAACGCTAAATTAGTTATCTACCTAGTTAAAGAAAATTTCAATGTTTTGTTTCCATGTTACTTACTCGTTAAACTCGTTCAATATGTTTTTGACATTAAAAATAAAAACTTATTAATATTATCTAAATTGTTTTGATAGTCCTGGATAAAGTATAGTATTCTACTCGCATATAATGGCTGCTATTCATTTGGATGATATATGACACCTAACCTAACCATTATATGCTCAGTCATATGCTCACGGTAAAAAACTCAGCAATCCTTGAAATTTTTAAAACTTTTTATCTTCGTATCTATTACGGTTACCGAGATGCCCATGCTCGTACCCCGAATTTGTACCCCTAAATTTTGCACCCTGTGTAGTTCAACTAAATGATAACGTTGGAAAAAATGTCTTCTAAACATATACAGAAAAATAACCTTAAACTAAATAAACAGATCAATTAATATTGTTCCATGCAAATTACAGATACATTTTCACTGAGAAATCTTTCGAACCTTTAAAAACATATTTTATTTTGCTCCTCAGAGAATTGTGATGCTTTGATCTTCGAGCTTTATCTTATATATTCGTCGGCTTTATGACGAAAAGGCGTATCTCGATTTTTGCTACTTTTCAGGAGAGCAATTTAAAGAAAATCACTTACTTTATTTGGCCAATAAATGTAAAGTCTTTAATTTTTTAATAGTGTTTTTGTATTAACACTTAAACGGAGACATTGAGGAAACGTTCTGAAGATAAATTGTGCATAAATTCTAATAAATAATTTCTTTTTAGTTGTTTAATAGATATAGGCTTTTTTGTTATAATAATAATAAATTTATTTTTCCCAACGAATAGTATACATACTCCCATGTAAAATAAATTTAAAAATGATGGTAAAATGTTCTTAATAAGGAAAAAAAAATACAATATTCATATTATGGAATACATACAAGAAAATACAATACATACTAGTAGTGGGAACTATCGAATGAATACTATCGAAACATTCGATAGTTGCAATTCATTCGAATAATTCGATAGCTAGTAAGAAAACATTCGTCGAAAACTATTCGAATAAAAATATCGAATAGATGCGTCATCTGTCTTGAAATATATTAATTCGGCAGCAAAAACCATTCATTTGTAAAATTCATTTATTCGTCAGGATCGATTATAATAAAATATAAAATGGATTTTAGTTGTCGCCCGGCGACATAGTTTTTTTTCCTAGAAACCCGACAGCGATCGGCGGTCGGTGGCAATGGTATGAAAAAAGCCGGCATCTTTGATTTTGAGTCAGGTAAAGATAAGGACACATTATTTTTTTTATTGAGGTGCTAGTATTTACACAGAAAATACATTATGAACGGCGCTGTTGCCGTATATTCGTATTAGTTGGTATTAGCAAAGAATATTATTCTTTGGTATTATAATTAGTTAGGGATAGTATAACTATATATTTTGCATGTTTTTTATTAATATTCTGTTGTTATACTGCAATAATACTTTTTATTTTGGATATAGGACAATGATTTTTAATGTTTTTAAGCAAAACTGGTTTAATAAATAATAATAACAGTAATAATTTGTTATACCTATTAACACCAAAGTTTAAAATCATTTAATATAAACATTTTTTTAAGTAGTAGCAAAATATAAACAACAAATTAGAAGTCAAAATTATTTATATTAGATCCTATTTAAAAGTAATATAGTCTCTAAATTTTTTGGCAACGTTGGTTTATTAAATAATAATAATTACAGAACTAATTCGTTATATTAACAACAAATTTTAAAATCATGAAATATAAACATTTATTAATTTCCTAAGCATGCAGTGTAATAGAAGAAAAATATAAATAAAAAATTAGAAATCAAAATTATATATGTGTATTACTTTTTATTACTTTGTATTAGTATTTAAAAATAATATATGCTTTTACTGGCATTTACTTTAAAAAATAAATGAAATATTTCTCCGCAAAAATCTACATTAAGAGAATTAGCATAAACAAAATACAAATATCGTTAACTTTTTTTTTAAATTGGCACGTGTAAAACTTTAATCAATCAATTTAATTTTCTCATCCCAAAATTTGAGTTCGATAACCATTTACTTATAACCACATTACCACATTTCTTAAATATGATTATTAAGTTCAACTAATTCATATTACTAAAACATCTAAAATACAAATACATATGTATTTTTAAAATTAATTGTAAGTTCACCTCATCTCTCTTAAAAATTGTTACTTCTCAAAATTTCCCATTAAAAAAATAGACCATATACCGTATAAAATTAAATAATTGAAAGATAGGAAAATCACACAAATTTTCGGAAAAATTTTGACCACCTGCACACGTTTGTGTACGTATCGTCAATTAAAAAAAACACTACTACTTTAGTATTTTAAATATTTTAATAAACGCAAAAATAGCACAGTATTTAGAAGGCAAGTTATAAAAATTTGGAAGAACTAATAATGCACCGACGCAAACAAAAATCAAACGAATACTAAAATTCATTTATCAAAAAAGCATTCGATAGTCGTGGCTTAACGATAACCATTTAGTCGCATATACAAATGAATGAATGATTTTATTTGAATGAAACCATTCGATAGTTGAAATCATTCATTCAGTAACCATTCGATAGTCTAATTCATTCAATAGTTCCCATCGCTAATACATACATACAGAAAAAATCTGAAATTCGCCAAAAAATCAGAAACAAATATTTTTAAATACTTTTATTAGAAAACAAAGACAATTTTCATTCCAGAAGCAAAGACAATAATCAATTAAAATACACTTATCTAGCTTATTTTAATAATATTGTTTTTTATACAAAAATACATTTTTTAACTAATATATTTTTAGTAATTATTCAGTTAATAGAGGGCATTAATACAAGGCATTTAAACTCACGGTCCATTTAATAAAAACCAAACTGAACATAAACAAAACAGTTTCTTCATTCGTGCCTTTTTGATACAAATAACTGTGTAAAACAGTTTCTGTTTTCCCTGTTCAATGATAACAAATTCGACTTCCATTCTACGTATTTATGCGGGATGATGATAGGCACAATAAATAAAATTTTCCAAAAATTGACAGGGATGACAATGATAATGAGATAAAAATTATTGTATTTTTCGGGCAAGTTTTTGGTTCGCTAAAACGTTCTTAGGGAAATTATAATTTCGGGAATTTTTCCATTAGGGGCACTTTTCGTTTCGTTGTTTTGCTTTCGATCAATTTTTCTTCGGCCATTTATTCTCGAACAATCTTTTGCATACCCGATACAGCTATGTGCAGAGTCTAGCTTATTCTATCAATGATGGTTTTTGGTAAAAAAAAAACAGACCATAGACAAACTAACAAAAGCAAGACTTTTCAAAGGATTGAGGAAGTCGAATTATTGTTTTTGCGCTGGCCAGTTGAGTCAGAAATCATCGCGCAGTCGCACTCGTCAAACCTAACCTAAATAAAACGAAAAACGTTTTTGCCTTGAACGAACTGTTGAATTCCTGATTTTGCATTTTGTTTGGTTATTACTATTATTTTATTAGCGTACAAAACGAAAACAAATAATTTAATACATTTTACATTTATGAAGAACATAATAATTACTGTGATTATACATATTATTGTGATTACATCGCTAACGTAGACAAAACGAAGGTCCTACAAATTGACTGTAAGTTATAAGAATCTCTATCTTTTTAATCTTTTTATGATTTGAATTTTCGTGCTTTATATTTTATAATAGACTCGAAATGTTAATATTTTTGCAAATTCTTGTGAAAATGTGAAGTTTATGTTTTTGTTTTATATTTGAAAAAGTTGTATATTTTTAAGATATTTCTTGTTGTTCCTATTATTAATATTATAATATACATAATTATTTTTTTGTACCTTTTGAAGAATAATGCTTTTATTTCGTTTACCATAACTGTTGCTTTTTTATCATCTTTTTTGTTATTTTAATAAGAGGAATATGTTTTCGTTTATCTAACTTTTGTTTTTATATCTGTTATGTCCAGAAAGTATTGTTTATTTTACCGATGGAAATAAATTTATTTGATTTTAATAAACGCTTTTTAATTAAACATCCTTGTCTAAAAGGCTACTACAAAATACACAATCCATAAGTAAACCGTCCTCGTCTAAAAGGCCAGTTGACGCAAGCGCGGTAATAAACTCTTATCAAACTTGTTACCGTTTTGCAGTACAGCGTTGACGCGTCTTGCTTTTGTTAGTTTGTCTATGAAACAGACTCAAAATCACACTGTAAAAGAGAGCTGCTGCCATGATAGAAGTTTTACTTTGTCCCAAGCAACCATCAGAAAATAATTAGGTAGAATGGGTGATTTTCTCTCGCATGCATTTTCATAACTTAAAACAAAAGGACCTATCTCAAATTCCATCTTTCTTGTAGTATAACAAAGAGCCCTATCTCAACACACGCCTCTTCGTAATAACGAAGAATTGTAGTATTTGAGATGGGGAAAATTTTTAAACGAATATAAAATGAAAAAGGTACAATATTGAGATGCGCAAATTCGCTATGTTAAAATATGACCCATTGGGCATGTCACGACGTTGATATCTCAAAATCGCCAAAAATATTTTAGTTATAACTTAAAATATATAACCAAATAAATATCCAGGAACCTAAAGTTAGAGACAATAATATATACAGCATTCACATTAATATGAACTATCTAGATACAGCACTTACCGATTGGAATATCGTACAATTCTTCCACTCTTCTGTTATTCTCTTTCGACTTGTCAGTACTATTGTTAGTATCAGTAACGTCCGTACTGTTTTGTTCGTTATTAGCCACCGCTTTGACTGGGGGCTCTGGTGTAGTACGTTTACCCTCTTCCGGACTCGAGCTGCCATTGGTTAGCGGTTTAGCGGGTGGGGCTGTCGAGAGGGGAGCGGGTGGTGGAGTGGTGGCACGGGGTATAACGGGTTCTGGGGCTTTTGTGGGGGTGGGAGGCAGCGAATGCCTGGAATCGCTGTTGGATAACGGAGGGGAATCGGATTTGGCGGGTGTGAATTCTTTTTTAGTCGGAGAGCCATCGCTAGCTGCAAAAACACACCACGAAAGAGTCGTGTTAGTTAAAAAAAATGATGTCACTCAATGGAAAAATACATCGAAAAACATGCATGACTGATTAGTTGCTAAAGTAGATTTAGTTGTGTTTCAGAAACTTTTAATTTACTTATGTTATTCAGAGTCAGTTTTATTATACTGTAGTTTATTAAATTTAAGGACATTGTGGGAAATTTTGAAAATAATGTCGATAATTTAGCTCCAGAGATATTTAATCATCACATTTTGACCTATCTATCATATTTAGTAATAATCATGGCCAATGAGTAACCATTTCGGGACTGATTCAGGCCTGGAAATATAATCAAAAGTTAAAATGTTGTTATAATATTGTTTCGTCTAAATCAGAAGTTCATTTATCCCTCAATAAAGTAATAAATTTGTAGTTTTGGACATTTTGGAAGTGAAGAATTTCTAATCTTGTTTTCGCTCAATCAACTGTTAGGTGTTGCATAAAAAACTGTACAACCATGTATACGAGTAGTCTTATATCATAACTATTTTATGCTCTTAACCAACGAATTAAAAAAACATTGTGCATTGTGTTTATTGATAACATTAGTGAAACACATGTACCATTACATGCATTGACCTTTTTGAAACTGTTATACAGGGTGGTCCGAACTGTATTTCGGAAACTTCGGCAGCATATTCTACAAATAAAAATAAGTAAAAAAGTTTGTATAAATGTATGTCCTAAAATGCTTAGTTTCTGAGATACAGGGTGTAGAAGTTTCATTTTTATTTCGATTTTTTCAAAATAATTTCTGAAATAACGTCAATATTTGGATGAAAATTGGCGACTGGGAGTTTTTTGACATGAAAATTGTAGAGGGCGCCACATACATATTTTTTAACTGGTAATAACTTTTCGCCCGTATCTGTATAAAACTGCCGAGTAAAAAAATGTACAAAAAACGATGTTTTTTACGTAAAAAAGGTCTCTTGGTGAAAATCGCTACGTGTAACGGTTCTGGAGATATTTGGAATCGAAATTATCAGTACCTCTGTCATCATTGACATAAATTAAATATGTTGACTAAATAGTTATTAGACTGAAACCATAAATTGGAAATATTTTGTGCCAAAAGTTCAATAGAAACTGTTTTATCATTATTTTTTTGAAAAGGAATAAGATTAATTAAAAAAAATAAAAACTTCCCAAATTTATCATTTCAGTCAAATAACTATCTACTCAAGATGTTTATTTTTTGTCAATAATGACATGTATCGACTATTTCCATTCTAAATACCTTGAGAACTGTTGCTCGTAGCGATTTTTACCAAGAGGCATACACAGGAATATGTATATTTTCACTCAGTAGTTTTATACCGGTACGGAAGAAAAGTTGTTACTTTTCAAAACACTTAAAACACGTGTAGGTAGCGCCCCCCCCCCCACAAACAGGAGTCATATTGACATCAAAATCAAATTTCTCATGTCCAAAAACTACCAGACACCAATTTTCATCCAAATATTGATGTTACTTCAGAAATTATTTGGAAAAATTCGAAATAAAAATGAAACTTCTACATCCTGTATCTCAGAAACTAAGCATTTTAGGACGTACATTTATACGATCTATTTACATATTTTGATCTGCAGAATACTTTGCCGAAGTGTCCGGAATACAGTTCGGACCATCCTGTATACAGGGTTGTTCACCACATACGACACGGAGTATTGTAGCTAAACGATTAGATTTTTCCAAATTGTAAGTTTTGGGTTCGTTGAAGCACTATTGGAGCTACAATTTAAAAACAATTTTACAAGATACAGAGTGTCCCAAATAAGTAAAAAATATTATAGTTGTATTTTTTTAAATGGAACACCTTGTATATTATTCTATTTTTAGATTCTTCGATTGAAATAAAGGTAAATTTGATTAAGGTTTATCACACTTAAATCTTACCGTTTTTGAAATAGTTTCAATTTTGTAAAATTGCAGTAATAAATTTAATGCTTCATTTCTCTAAGGGTATCAAAGTTTTTAATACTAAATATTTACTGAAGATTATTTATTGATCAGATATTGTGTTGGAATAATAAAAATTATACTACCTTATACAGAGTGTCCAAAAATTTATATTAAATAGTTACTAGCTTTAACCGGCAATAACTTGTTTAATTTAAATAGAATACCCTGTATATTTTACGCGAATCAGATACACAATTTAATTGTCTATCAAATCGTCTTATACCATTCTATACCTATCTCTTCAAGTTTTTGTAGAAAATTAATTTTCTTATAATTAAGACTTCATTTATCACTATACCCATGGAATATTGACATTTTAGATTATTTTTAAAGATGTAATAAATTTTCAAAGAGTACAGAAACTAATATTGTCGGTATAGTTCGCTTATTCCAATAAAAAATAAAAAAACTGTTTAAATATTTATATATTTATATTTTTTTTTATTTTTTTTATAACGTAAAATTTTATTCCATACAACTTTTATTCCATGGTTTTTTTTCAATAGGAGTATCTGTTTTAAAGATGTGTAGTCTTAGATAGCCGCAAAATGTAAGTTTGCACCAAATTACGAAATTTTCTTCGTTTTTAACATTGGATTTCGGCTATACCACTGAACCAAATTTGATGTTTTATATGTCATTGGACGCAGAATTTAGTCCTCTAGTTTAATGAATGGAATGACATTTTCCGGTCGACGGCGACGCACCGATTTCCAGCTCGAAGCAAAAAACTCAAAAATGTGCAAAAATTTGACGGTTTTTTGCCTATCAAAAACTAAGCTCACCTCCTGGGAGGGTGCAAACTTAGATTACACGCATTTAGGACAGAATAAAGGTATTAAAATAATTTCCAGCTTGATGGAAATTTATTCCTCAAAATATATTAATTTGATTGGCCTAATTGATGAACATCATAATATCAATACACTGAAATGCAAAATAGTGTAACGCTACTGATACAATAAAACTGACTATGAGAAATACTTTATTTTCTTTAAATGCACAAGATAAAAAAAATATGTGAAGAAGAATTACTTCAAACAAAATGGAAAGCATTTCTTCAAATATTATTTTAGTAGTTATATAAGGTATGTAATTCATAATATATACTTATTATGCATCTTGTTGAAATTCATACAGCTTAAATTATTAGGCTTTTATTCATGGCATTGTTACCAAATAGTAACAATGTTGAGCAAGAAAAATGCTCGACATTTTCAAACAAAAAAAAAACTCTGTCAATGTCTTACAATATTTGAATCAAATTTTAGCCATGACGTGGGCCTCAAGACTGAATCGAATTAATAAGTTAATGAATTAATAAGAAACTATCTAATACATATTAAGTGATTATTTAACACACCATTCACATAATGGAACTCTAAGCAAGAAATAAAGTGGCTTACCTCTGATTGGTAGACTGTTATTAACAATAAGTTCTGGAGAATTCTTGGTTATACTTGTTGGTCGTGGAAGACTGGTCGTACCGTTGGTCTTTTTTATACTGTAGGACCCTCGCTGACTGTCTGTGGCTAATTTATCAACAACTCCTTCTAATTCGCTAAAGACCTGGAGGAAAAATGAAAAAATATGGTTAATGCAACTTGTTGCTTTACTATAAGTGGTAGACAGTGTGGGGCACCGCGTGTACTACAGTGTGGCGCACCTCTTTCGCCTCGGTTGTATGGGTGTATGTTGGGAGGCAATGTGCACAATTTAAAATTATATTGAAATATACGGGGTGTTTCAGAAATAAGATTCACACCAAAGTTATATTTTTTCTTATGGAAGACCCGCTATTTTATTTCATATTTAGATCCTTGGACACAAAATAAAGCATTTACTATAAGGGTTAAATATGTTTACCAGCCTGGGTTTTGAGATACTTAAAGATATTTAAATATGCATACTATATTATATACAGGGTGGCCCATCGAAAACGTTCCGCAAGGCATAACGGCCAGGGTATTGATTTTTTCAAAAAATCCAAAAACACGTCAATTTTGTTTGTGAGGGGGACAACTTTTGGCCCAAAAATCATTGCAAAATATTCAACCCTCTAAACGGTGGTGTCATCCCCCAACTTTTTTAAAATGGAAAGGGGGGTCAAGTGGCGCCGCAATAAAAAGAGCTTTCTATTCTCTATATTTCCCCGCTTCGTTTTTGAAAATCGGTCGAGTCATTGAGAAAATATGAAGGATTGAAATTTGAATAGTTTATTTAAGCATTTATCAGAGTAAATGATAATTACGGGTAAATTCGACCAATTTGCTGTTTCTTCTTATTATTTCTAGATGTTTACGCATTTTTTCACTTGCCACAACGTTGAACGATCAGGTGCGGTAGTTGCTAGATGGCTGTTCTGTGACTTGTACGTTGAAGTTCTTCTCAATATCGTTAAATTGACCCACAATAGAATTTCCAAAAATACCAGCCCACACGTTCAATTTCTGAGGGTTTTGTTTGTGCACCTGTGCACCTCGTAAAAAACCCTGGGGTTGTCCTCAGCCCAGTACCGACAGTTGTGCCGATTAACTACACAGTTCAAAAAGAAAGTACACTCTTCCGAAAAACACACATTCAATAGGAAATTATTATCATTCCCCACTCGTTCACTCATAGCTTCATAAAATTACAAGCAACGATCAAAATCGTCTTCGTTGAGTTCTTGTACCAACTGAATTTTTTTGTACGGGTGGAACTTGTGTTTTTTTTAATATCCTTTGGAAACTTGTACGATTCCCGCCGGTCTCATTGGCTAATTTTCTTGGACTCAGAATACTGTCCATGGCAACTTGGCCCAATACGAATACCTCCATAGCTTCATTTACTCCAGGATTTTCCCTCTTGCCTCTTTTTATTCATAACGAAACCACTTTCACGAAATTTTGCTACTAACAGGCGAACAATTTTGCAATAAAGGCGTTTGTCAGGATGGCGTTCATTGAATATCTGCGCAGCCCGATTGCAAACATCTAGAAATAATAAGAAAAAACAACAAATTGGTCGAAGGAATTTATCCTCATCATTTACTCTGATAAATGTTTAAAAAACTTTTCATATTTCAATCCTTCATATTTTCTCAACGACTCGACCGATCTTCAAAAACGAAGCAGGAAAGTATAGAGAATAGAAAGCCCTTTTCATTGCGGTACTCCTTGACCCCCCCCCCTTCCCATTAGAAAACATTCGGGGGATGACACCCCCGCTTAGAGGGTTGAAGATTTTGCAATAATTTTTGAGGCAAAAGTTGTCCCCCTCACAAACAAAATTGACGTGTTTTTGAATTTTCTGAAAAAAAAATTACCCTGACCGTTATGCCTTGCGGAACGTTTTCGATGGGCTACCCTGTATTTATACTATATGTATAATAAAAAAGATTGTCAACACCCTGTACATTGCTTTTCAGAATTAATTCTTGTGCTGATTATTAAGCCAAAGAAATGAACTGTACTGAAAAATTTGATTACTTCGTTTAATATATACGGGGGTATCAAAAATGTCATGGCAAGTTTCTGGTGACAGTTAGTAGCTATTTTCAAAATCGAAATTAGTTTATAGACTTTATTTAAATTTATACCAGTTTACTTTTATTTAATTTACCTACAATAATATTTATTAAATATGTATTTATTATACTATCAAGAAAAACGAAGAAGTAGTTCTTATTAGATTTATTTTACGATGACTTGTAGATAAATGGATTAAGGAGCCAATTACTGTAAATTCGTTTTCTTCACTTCCAACGACAGTTTTCTGCCTAATAGGTTTTTTATAAGCCACACTACCAGCTCTACAAAATATGAGAAGTAGTTTTTCAAAGGAACGCTTATCAGGGATATTCCTATTTAGATATCTTTGAGCATAAGCCCTTGAGGCCACGAAGCACTGTCACTAGAAAATTGATATGGCGACACCAGGCATCTTGATGGTCATTTTATTGAAATAGGTAGATAGGTATAGAAAACCCTAATATAGTTTGAAAGATCATTTGAATCTGCTTCGATTAATTTTAAAAATACAGGGTGCTTCATTTAAAATAACGAAGTTTTTATATGGAAACAAAGAATAACAATACCCATTTTTAAAAAGGGAGATAAAACAGACCCAGCAAACTATAGAGGAATAACATTACTGATCACCTCGCTAAAACTTCTGACTAAGATCATTGCGGACAAAATCTCCTCAATAGTGCCAATAAGCGAGGAACAACAAGGATTCCGAAGAAACCGATCAACTACCGATGCACTATTCATACTCAGGCAACTAGTTGAAAAATCCTTAGAATATAACTCTCCAGCCTATCTATGTTTTATAGATTTAACAAAGGCCTTTGACAGAGTTCAACTAAAAGACATCATCACCATCTTGTAAAGCAGTAATGTCTCGAAAGAACTCACAGAACTTATCAAGGACTTAAACACAAACACGACAACCCAAATAAGAACAAACTTCACCTTAACGCAGCATCTTCGAACTACAACTGGTATTCGCCAAGGCGACAGTCTCAGCCCTCTGTTATTCAGCACAATCATGGATCAAGTAATAATAACCGTCAAGAATACTGGATTAGGATATCGAATGGGAATGCATAAAGTAAACATATTATGCTATGCCGATAACGCAGTACTTATTGCAGAGTCAGAGGACGACCTCCAAAGAATGCTACAAACTTTTAACAGATAGGCAGAAAAACTTAACATGCAAATTTCCACAAATAAGACCAAATGCATGACCATTACAAAGGAGCCTCTACGGTGCAAATTGGTAATAAAAAACAAAACTATTGATCAGATAATGTCATTCGAATACCTCGGATGCAAAATTACAAGCTCAGGATTCCTGGAAGAAGAAGTAAGGAAACAAGCCAATAAAGCTGCCGCAATATCAGGACATCTTAAATATCCCATATGGAAAAACAAACATTTGAGTACAGAATGTAAGTCAAGAATATACAAAACCTGCATACGACCAGTGATGACATATGGTGCGGAAACCAGAGCTGAAACATCAGTAACAAAGAGAATCCTACGAACTACTGAAATGAAGACCTTAAGAATGATAACTGGATACACATTGAAGGGCAGACAGAGAAATGTAGACATAAGAGAAAAGTGCCAAACAAACGACGTTGTCAGATGGATAAGGCAGAGAAGAAGAGAATGGAACTAGCATGTCAATAGAATGGGCCCCGACAGAATAGCCATAATAATTCGCAACAACGTACCCCATGGCAGAAGACCTACTGGACGACCACCTAAGCGTTGGCAAGACAGTTGGCAGTCAACCTCGCGAGAGTTGCTTAGACGAGGAGGAAACCGGAACTAAACAGGCAATACGCCTTCTAAAAGAAGAAGAACAAGAAGAAGTTTTTATATAAAATAAATCCTTAAAATAGATCAGCAATTTTTGGTACCCCTGTATAAATTTAAATTAATAAAATGAATTTAAAGTAATAACATTTTTCAGTAAAGTTTATTTCTCTACCTTTAAACTCAGCACAAGAATATATTTTCAATAATATTTTTTGTTAAGTTTCTCTAAAACGGTATGGAAATTTGGAAAAGTATAAAAGGGATTAACCATTTTAGAACATTACAGTTGGGGGTTGGAACCTTTGGTGTTACACAGCAAAATAAAACACTAAATCATCACAATACACCAAAACACTTTTACTTTTACACTAGACGCGCGTTTCGCTAACCATGTTAGCATCATCAGCAGATGATTAAAAACTAAACTACAATCTACAATTTGAGCTCAGTGGGCACCTGGCTGTGATCAATAGTGAAAAAGTTTTTCCTCTTGTAAAGAAAATCCGGGGACATACTGTATTTATAATTAATTTAGTTTTGTTCCCTGAAATATTTTGATTAAAAGAAAATATATAAAAGTGGGCAACGCTGTGCCGGTGACGCTTAATCATGTGACTAAAAATTTATTTGGTATGATCTATACTTTGCTATTTGAGGCACTCTATTTTGAGATACACTATACAATATCGGAATGAAAGTATGTTATAGTGATTCACCGACCGATAAACATCGACTTAATCGATAACAAACACCGATCTAGCAAAAGGAAGAAAAAAAACGCAAACGTCTTTTCGAAATGGAGAAGCAATTAAAAGGCTAGAATTAGCTTAGTTTCCAAATGGAGCCAGACAAGGTTAAATTAGAAAATCCACTTAAAGAAACGGCATGTCCTACTAAATGATGGAAATTGCGATAGCTGCAGAGTCGTGCTGTTGTTATACACCTAGCGAAGCGATTGAATCGGACTAAGAATAGAAAAGAATAATAGGAACGCAGGTTGATAATGTATCTGTTCTGACCGACGGAATGACTTTAATAAGAATGGTAATTGTTGAGAACAAAAGCACAATTTATCAGATAATTTAAATTATATTTTTATCTGAATAATGATTTCATATTTTTTTTTGGTATCTGAAGAGCCGTTTAAATAAATATTATTTATGAAAAATAATACTTGGGTATACGTAAAATAATATTGTGGACAACTTTTCTCTTTGACTCTTTTCAATATTTGGTCTCCTAAGACAAATTTTTACATGTAAAGAGATAAAGGGAACTTTTTGAATTTGCCATCGTGGCGGTTGTCGTATTACATCATTCTTTTTTAAAAAGCAACAACTATTTTTAAAACTCAAAACCGAGCTGAAAACTTTGACCTGTATTACGTATTAAAAATTTACTTGAATTTTTATTAGTGAGAGGGGGCGGCAAAAGAATGGTGCCTAGGGTACCAATTTACGCGGCCCTGGGTAAACCTTAATTAAATTTGCCTTTATTTTAATCGTGGAAACTAAAAATGTAATATACAGGATGTGTGACCCCTGTATAACAATTTGTAAAAAAAATCCGCTACGTTTTTTTCTGTATTATTGGTGCTTCTCTCTTCGACTACTCTACGTAACATCGCAGAGTTACATAATAATCACCTTGGCCGATTCCGAATGAAAGGTGTGCTCGGCATTAAACAGCGACTGGAGATTCGTGACCAGGAACAGCACTCGCGAATCGTAGAGGGCGGGCAGTTCGTCGTGCAGTTCCGAGTTCAGCATCTCGTAGGTCCGTTTCGCCTCCTCCAGCTGTTCCCGGCCCTTGGCGATTTTGACGTCGTCCCGCTTCTTCATGTTGGTCTGGAGCGCCTGGAAACTGTGCCGCTGGCTGTCGTAGTCTACCAATTTTCGGCCCCTTTTGTCGATTTTTTTCTGCAAAACATTGGTAAATTTCATTAGGAAATACGGCTATTTGAAATCAAAATCTTAACACCTAATATTCAGTCAGTCTTATACAGGGTGTTTCAAAAAACATATGCCATCTCTCGTGGAGAGATTCTTCACGTAAAGATAAGATTTATTTTTCATACCAACATAAGTCCAATTCTGCTTTTTGTTTCGTAGCTACAGGGTGTTAAAGTCTTAATAATTTTGCGAATTATTATTATTTTCCTCCAAGTACTTTTAATGACTCGAATGAAATTTTGAGGGTAAAAATTGCTATAAGTGGGAATTTTAATATTTTAATGCTATCAAAGTGTCGATAAATTTATCAGGGACGTGCATATGGGTTATCACCGGAATATTTTTCAAAAAAAAACAGGTGTGCTACCGACTTTTTTCTTTTGGTATTAAATATAGGCCGTTTAATGCCAGTTAAAAGTTATCTCTTGATATTTTGTCGAATTCCGCCTCCTTGATGAGATAAACGCAATTTTCTTAACCACGATTAATAAAATTAAAATAAAATTAATACATACTCGTAAATTATATATTTTACCTAATTTATTACTAAATATTATTATTATTACTATTAGTATTTATTACTATTAGTCCAACCTACAGCAATTTCAAATAAAAAATAATGGTATTTAAGATAATTACTATTTATTTATTAAAACTTTGGTAAGTTAATGATATTATTTTTTTTAAAGTTTGCTTTAAATTAGAATAAATAACTTTTACCCTCAAAATTTCATTCGAAACGCTAAAAGTACTTGGTTGTTAATCATACCGCATAAAAAAATCTGAAATGGATAGATCAGGTGATCGAGGAGGCTTACGCATTGGTCCACCTCTTCCTATCCCTGACTCTACATAATTATGAGATAAATAATTTTTATCATTTCTTTCATTATGAGGGGGAGTGTCATAACGAAAATCATGTTGGAATCACTGTATTGATGCGCGAGTCTCTAAATTTAACTTTTCCAGCATGTCTTGAAAACCGTTCTCTAAAAAGTGTAAGTAACATTCACCGGTCAACATATCCTCGAAAATGTATGGCCAAGAAAAGTTGAACTAATAATACTACACGCTTTTCTTCATTTTAAAATTCATATTTACACTTTTTGTTTATTTTTATTTACAAAGTTTGGATGTGACAGTTTGGCATGTCAGAGAGCAACGACGATTGAATTTGTTTCCATGGCTAACTAAGTGAAGCTGTTTAAAAATGATAATAATTGGCTAAAACTCAGTAATTTTTCGAGAAAAAAATTATAGCTAAAAATGGCGCGAAAACGGAAAACATAATCTCATTAAGGATGTGATTATCAACAACTTTTATCTGAAAAATTTTTGTTTAAAATAATAATGGAATCAGGGAGCATTTTTAAAATAGCTGTGGGCATGTTTGGATTGCACGCTATTTTGTTTGGATTGCACGCGAAATACCAGGCGCTTGTGCAAAGCTTTCCGGCATGTATTCTTGGGGTGTACTCAGATCCTTGTGATTTACATGCATCCGTTATCCGCTGATACAATGGTCCTACGCAACGGAGCGGCGCTCTGATTTCACTTTTCATCCGTAAATTTTTTAATCCAGCCCATCAACGGAGAAAGTTAAAATAAGTTTAACTTTTTGTAGGATAACGGACGTTTTGACACTTTTTTGACAAATTTAATCTAACCTTAATAAGAATATAAGTAAAACAGCGAAATTGTTATGGAAATGAAAATATAAAATGACACCAATCACAAGCAAATCGTATATCCGATAAACGGGGGCATGAAAATGCAAAAAACTTAAAAACTGCGTAATTTTCTTTTTAAGTCTTTAAATTCAACCAATAAAATTAATATCGTATCATCGTATCGAATCATCTTATCGTCGAATAACGGATTCATGAAAATCAAGCTTAGGGCGTTCCAACCTCCCTAAATATCTGGCGTATAGTGATCCTTGGAACGAAACAAGAGCAGACATTCCTATGCAAGATTCACCGGACCAATATGAGAGGGTAGTGGTGTCTCATTGCCTATTCTAAAGCAATATTCTTATAATCTTTAGTATGCCTTTCATTTAGGAAAGGAGCGAACACTCCACTAACTGGACCAGAACCGTTCTGCTTTCCAAGTGGTAACCAACTCAAGGCGGAACTCAAGAACTTGGAAGATTCCATCCGCAACCTGGAATGGAAATCTTGCAATGGTCTAAGACACTCGAAGAAGTTTCTGAGGGCTTATGATCAAGAAAAATCACAGATCTTCCTGGGTCTGAGTAAGAACAATCTTCGGATTGTCACGGGGTTTTTAACAGGACACTGTCTCCTCAATGGACCTCAGTAGATTGAAACTAAGAAGAAACGGCGAATGCAGATTCTGTGGGAAAGATGGGGAAACACCAGAACACCTCATCACTGAGTGCGCCGAGACGACAACCATTCGTGCCATGAACTTTGGTACGACTGATATTGGAGATGGAGAACTACCCTCTATAAAACCGTCCCAGATACTGGCTTTTGTCAAAGCCCTGGGACTGTATGATGAGTTATGATTCAAGAAAGGGGGACACAATGGATCTGTAAGGTCGAAGTGATTAACCCCCCTCCCACTCATTCTAAATTCTAAAAATGCCTTTCATTAATTGTTTGTGTAAGAGATGAATATGGGTCGATTGCTTATTTTGTCTAAAAAACCTTTTTTTAAACCAATGTTTTTTTCTTCGTTGTAGTATGATCCTTGTTCTGTAGTATGGCTGGCGAATATTTTCTGTTTGATAAACGACATTATTTGAACTATACCCCTGAGTTGTTATTAAAGGAATAACATTCACAGACTGAACGTGTATGTTTAATCGGACTTGTGGAGTGAACACTCCAGAATAAGGCCCTTAAGCAGGTTAGAACGTCGCATCGTTCTCACTCCACACACATACACTGGTAACCTTCAAGTTTTCTCTTTTTCAAAAACAACCTCTACACTATGCGGAGAACTCTTCGAAGCAGGTAAAGGAGGGCGTGGGAGGATTTTGGCGTTTCCTGTTGCTTCGTTCAATTTTGTTTTATTTTGATTCGTTCGATCGTTCTATTTCCGATACGTGGCGGTATCTGTACCCGAGGCAAAGAACCTTTTTTTTCATAAATCTCAGTGAAATAAGTAAACCTAGACGTTTCTAAAATAGCCGTTGTGTAAGACGCGCCGTGATTGGTTGCTTGTTTTTTATTGTTAATATCGGTCCACTTTGTTCTATTTTGTGAAACGTGGGAACTAATTTTTATAACATGGGCCTATACTTGAATTTACTTCTGAGAGTATTTCCAGAAATGTTTTGCGAAATGTTTCACGAAATATTTCGTAAAACATTTCGGGGATGGTGTAGAGGCTGTTATACACTATATTACTCAACCGACAACGTTGATTTGTTATTAAGGGAATGAGATTCACAGAGCAAATGTATAGGTTTAATCACTGTCCTGAAGTGAACACTCTAGAAGAGTGGTTCCGTGAATGTGCGCATTCTATGAAAGAAATAATTGTACGCGAAGTGGGTCCTTTACTAACGGGTCATAAGAAATATGGGATATTTTATATTCCTTAAATGGACTTAAGTTACTTAATACCAATTAAATCAAAAGTTATCAGAATTTTAAAAATATACATTTATAACTTTATCCATTTAAAAAAACTTCCTCCAACGATTTTTTTCTGTATATCCATTAAAAAAAAACATTCATTTCGTATACACTAAAACACATTTGCAAAATATAAAGATATAAGAAAACTCTTACTCTCATTTCTGGAAACTGTGACTGGTAGGTGTTCAAGGGAAGCAGCACCTCATCTGCCAGTTTGTGACTGAAGTCCTGCCATAGCATGTCCACTGATTGCGTTTGTACATACAGATGGTCGTGGCCGGTCCATTGACTTTCGTAGGTTTCCCCTATGGCATCTAGAAGTGATTTGGAAGCTGCCTGGGCGGCTAAAAATAAAACCAAAGGTCACGTCCACTTATTCGATGATTTATTAGCTGATACGCAGAAGTGTAAAGGTGCGTATTCATTATCCGCACGAACGAACGAACGAACGAACGAATGTTCGCTAGTGGTATGGACGGGGACCGCACGATAGAACCGCACGAGAAGACCGCACGCATTTCTTCATTCGCGCGCCAGTTCAAATCGTCAAGATATTGTTATAAACCTGTTTTTTTTTTTGTTTATATACCGTCATTGAATTATCGCTAAGCAAGTTACTATGGAGCAGTGCATAAGGAGTCGGGCTAGGAAGCGAGAGACCGGAGTTCGAATCTCGGCCGGAACATCACTTTTTTTTTAAATACTGTTGTATTATATAGTTTATTTTTGTAGTATAAGAAAAATAACTATTTATTCTGTTATTTTTTAATCTCCGTTATTAATATTAATTGATTGTTAGTAAAATACCTCATTTAATATAAAATAATATTCTACTTTTTGAAATGTATCGGGCCCTAATTGTACCTAAAAGTAATATATTTTTAGTGATATACCATATTGTAAACTATTTAATATTTCAGTCGCTTAAAAAGTTAATTTGCATTGAATAATTGCCTACCATTAAAGGAAATTTGAGCTATATAATCCTTGATGGGCATATTCTGGGTATGCAAATACTTCCTTTAAATTTTGGGTGTCGTTCAACCGATTTATTCTCAAAACCAGAAACTTCTACATATAAAAAGAAGCAGAGGTCACTAATTATAATAAACTTCACCCTTGGTATTACTTCCACTAATTATAATAAACTTCACCCTTAGAATTACTTCTATCACAATTACAATACGTTCATCTGCATTGGCATTTTCTACTTTTCGATGGGAAACAATAAACTTCCCAATATTTTTTAAATGATGTAACAATTCCTCTTGTGGTTACTTTTCCATAGATATCCTCAACTCTGTCCTCATGTGAATTCAGAGGCAATGAAAATGAAAATTATTTACCATAAACATCGCAAACTAAAAACCTAATAAACAATTTTATACCGAATATAGAAATAAATTCAGTATTCTTACCTATCGTCCAAATCCATGTTAATAGATAATTATTATTTTTAAATATATTTTTGGAACTGCTGGTTTTAGTAATTATTAAATTAAACGAACTAAAAAGTCTTAAAATAAACAATTCTTAACCATAACCCCAAAAATTGCAGATCTCCTGTCAACTTTCTTTATTTTTTATTTATTCATTATTTTCCTAGTGACGTCACAGGTGGTATGCGCGAACTGAACGAAATTGGAGCCGCTATCGATCATACCTTGTATTCTTTTACCATGACGTCTAAACGCCTTTGATGTACCGACTCGAAGCGGATGGTCGAGCGCACGAACGAACGAACGGCCGCATGCGTTCGGTCCCCGTCTAAATATACCGCACTTTCATTCGTTCGTTCGTTCGTTCGTTCGGATAATGAATACGCACCTTAAATCTGAAAGCGCACGCAGGCGAACGCCTTTGATTTACCGACTCGAAGCGGATGGTCGAGCGCACGACCGAACGAACGGCCGCATGCGTTCGGTCCCCGTCTAAATATACCGCACTTTCATTCGTTCGTTCGTTCGTTCGGATAATGAATACGCACCTTAAGAGTGCAAATAATGCTACTTTGTTTTATAATTTCCTTGATATACCGACTGTTTTTCAAAACTGGCTCGTAACCATAACTTTTTTTAGATAAAAATACGAAATTTGGTGTGTTAGTTAGAAATTTCGCTTCTGGTACGCAATTTGGTATTTTCAAATTAGTTTCGTTTGTTTTATTTTATCGGAAACAGTGGCGGATACCCATGGGGCCCATGGGGCCGGGCCCCCCCCCTAAAATCTGTAAATTGGGTTAAATATTAGGCTTTTGGGTTAAAAGTGGCGCCCTAAAAGGCATATTTTGCATTATTTTTTATTTGGCCCCCCCCCTAAAATAAGTTTCTGTATCCGCCCCTGATCGGAAATGACTACAACTTCTGATTTTTAAATGTTACCTTTGGTACCATTTAACCTACTTTATTTGATAGAAAATACAATATTTTGAATAGAATGACATATCATATTTTGATATTTTCGCATGCAAAATAGCATGCTAACTTTCAATCTAGATAGCCACGACAGTAAATATCACAACAATTTGACTCAACATACTAAGTATATGATACAACGTTATTCGTAAAAAAATATGCTTTTCCAAATATGCTAATGACTCACCCTCGTTCCAATTGAAAAAATTGAGTTATGATTGATATTGAGATTGATATGGCCAGGAAATAACACAAAACACATTAGACGATCAAGTCTATTTTACCAAGGTTTTTTGACTAAAAATTGGTGTTACTACACACCGTTCACAGGCATGATTTTACCACGCATCGACTCTAGATTAAAATTTATAATATTACTTTTTTTAAGTGAAAATGTCAAAAGATGGCATTTTATTTAGAATGCCATTTTCTATGAAATAAGGTAAAAAAAATCCGGGGGAACTATTTCAAAATCAAAAGTGGTTGCCATTTCCGGTGAAACAGGATGTGACCGAAACTAATTGAGTACGCGAATTAATCTCGATTTATGTCATATACAAGGTGCCCGGTGGCGTAGAGGCTCTCGTCTACCAACCTCAAGTTAGTGGGTTCGAATCCCACACCCGGCATTGCATCAGCCAACTATTTTTATTAAATAAAAATAGTTTGGGTACCTACGTCGACTCAGCCTTAAATGAGTACTTGGGATTCACAATCCTGAGGTAATAATAGGCGGTTGAAGCGTAGTGCTAGCCACATTACCTTCCTTGTATACCGAACGGCTCTAGTATGGCAAGCTGTACCTTGCTACTCCCAAGGCGTTAAACGCTATACCTATACGGGAGCTATTATTATTATTATGTCATATACCTACTAATATACCAAATTTTGTTTTTAACTCAAAAAATAAAAAAAAATTATAGAGATGAACTACTTTTGAAAAACACTCGCTATAACAAAACAGAGATGGAGCTTTGAAACTAGGGTACTAATGAGTATGTTAAATATGGCTATAAACTTGAGATTCGTTTAAATTTACAGGGTCTAGGAAAATTGCCGGAAAATATAGTTGCCCGAAAGAAATATCACCGGATTACAATTGACACAAATAAAAATTCCCCGAAATGTCAATTTTTGGTAAAAAATTGCTCTAATAAAGGACATTTAAACACGATCCATTTAATAAAAAACAAATTAAGGACATATTTGCAATAAATTGTTCCTTTACTCTTATATATATTTGGATGAAAATTGGTGTTTGGGAGTTTTTTGACATGAGAAATTTGATTTTGATGTCAATGTGTCTCCTACTTGTAGAGGACGCCACCTATATATTTTTTAACTGGTTTAATGAGTAATAACTTTTCGTCCGTACCTGTATAAATCTAGCGAGTAAAAATATAAATTTACGATATTTTTTACGTAAAAAATGTTATTTGATAGAAATCGTTACGAGTAGTGGTTCTCGGGATATTTGGAATCGAAATTATCAATACCTGTCATCATTGACATAAATTAAATATGTTAACTGAATAGTTACTAGACTGAAATCATAAATTTGAAATGTTGTGCCAAAAATTCAACAGAAACTGTTTGTCCGCAGCGATTTTTACCAAGAGACATTTTTCACGTATAAAATCACGGAAATGTACATTTTTTCACTCGGTAGTTTTATACAGGTTTGGTTACAAGGACGAGAGAGAGAGAGAAACGTTCTTAGTTTTCAAAACAGTTAAAACACATGTAGATGGCGCTCCCTACAAATATATATCATCAAATACAGATAAATATCATCAATGTCATATTAACATCCCCAAAATCAGCATGTCAAAAAACTCCCAGACACTGTTACTTCATGTTAATTCAAAAATTATTTGGAAAAAATCGAAATAAAAATGAAACTTCTGCACCCTGTATCTCCGAAACTAAACATTTTATATTTATATGAACTTTTTTTATTTATTTTTATCTCTCAGCAGGATATTCTGCCGGAACACAGTTCGGACCACCCTGTATATCGGGGTATATAACTTGATATATATCACGTGATAAATATCATCCAAACCTTGTTATTAATATTACAAAATAGAATCCACAATGTTAATTTTTATTGAGCATAATATACTTCTAGTCAATCGTCATACAAAAATCTTGTTACATTTACGAATGTCGAACTCAACGTTGAGAAGTTGTTGAGAAACGTTCTATTTACTAACGGTAAATATTGTTTAATATACTTTTAGCGTTATTAGCATGCAGCACCTTACGAGAAATGTGTGTTAGCAATAACAGATTTATGTCACATACACAGATACAATGAGATTTGCTTTTCTAATTCTGTTATGTACTATGTTATAATAGTACGTATGCATACGCTGTGATTTGTTAAATTGAGTAAAATGAACTTTTCTGGAATATTGTAGGACTAAAAGAATATAATATGCATAAATATCTTAGTTCCATTTCCTTATTTACTTTGATTTAATAAATATTTTCAAGTCACACTTTTATAAAAAATAATATTATTTTATATAAAAGTGACCTCAAAAAAATATATGTATAATAAATACTAATATCTTTGGTACCTATTAATGCTTTTAAGCTTCATTCAGAACCTCGCATTGGCGTGACATAAATTAGTGGTTTCAATTAGCATAGAAGTTTGTTCCTTTAGTTTCAATGTATGCATTCAGAACGTCAAAATTAGTGGTTTCAATTACACTTTATGCTTTCTAGTTTACGATTATTCACAGTGTTTAAAAAACACAATTAAAATTAATAGAATATTCTAGCAACAGCTTGCGTTATTCAGTTGTATTTAGGGAATGCAATCCCGCACCAAAATATCAATCCCGCAAACCCGCGGGATTAAAGCAATCAATTGGTCCTAAATGGTACAAAAGGCATTGTACATTTTGCATAGGCCAATA